GTTGCATGCCTGTAATCCCAGCTACTCGGGAGGCTGAGGCAGGAGAATTGCTTGAACCCAGGAGGTGGAGGTTACGGTGAGCCAAGGTCATGCCATTGTACTCTAGCCTGGACAACAAGAGTAACACTCTGTCTCAAAAAAAAAAAAAAATAAGAACTGGGGTTCTTGCTTGGCCGTACTGGTGCACACTGTAGTTCCAGCTACTTAGGGAGGCTGAGGCGGGAGGATTGCTTGAGCCCAGAAATTTATGACCAGCTTGGGCAACACAGCAAGATCCATCCTTGGGAAGGAAGAAGGAAAAAAAAGGAACTGGGGTTTTAGAATCAGGCATAATTGAGTGTGTGCTCCTAATCTACCACCACGGCAAGGTTCACGTGGAGGACTTAGAAATGCTCCTTTCATGTTTTCAAAAAAAAATTTCCATTAGATGTCAACCTAGAAAGTGGTCAAAGCATTTGACTGAGCATCCAATACGCAGAGCTGTGTACAAGCAATTATTTGAGAGATTTAAATGCCCTTTTATGAATGTTCATGGATGAAGCCCAGTAGGAATAATGTACTTGAATACAATACAGCTTGGCAATTTCATACAGGTCTGTACATCCCAGAACCCAGAGAAAAGGGTTCAAAAGAATTTCCAAATCCATTAGATTTTGAGTAGAAATATTATTCACATCTTACCTATTCAACAGCCTCAGCTTCTGCGGGGTAATCAATCATTAGCAGACCAAAACGAAAATGCTTTAAAGACAATGATAATGTTATGTGTGATTTATTAAGCACCTACCATGTGGCAGGCACTATGCTAAACATTTGTTTAGAATTTACTCATGTAACTTTCACTACCCTGTTCAGTAGACACTGTGACTCTCTTGATTTATAAATAAGGAGGCTCAAAGAGCTGAAGATTAAAGAGATGAAGCATCTGGGCTAAGGTCACAGAGCTAGCCAGTGACATATGCTAGATCTAAGCCCAAGTCTGACTCTAAAATTCTGCTTTCTTTATTTAGTTTTTCTGCCATGCAAGGTTTACTGCCAGCTCCTCCAGGAACTTCTGAGTAAGCCTGCCCCCCAATGGCCGAAAGACCTGGAACTGAGAGCACTCACATTCTTTTATAACAAGTGTGACATTTTCAGCCCATCTCACAAATAGTAGTGTCCCCAAACCACATTGGTTTGGAGTATTGCTAACTATGCTATCAACTAGAGCCCTGAATTCCATCTTTCTCAAAGTCTCGGATGCTTCATTTTATAGACTCCAGAAAGGTTTGCAGTAACTTCATCCCTTAGACTGCACCCCAACAACTGGTAGCCAAAGCCCCCATGTGGTGAGCAAGGCAAGGCATCTTAATGCAGTGGGATGGGATAGACTTTGATTGGGTGACATTTACAGCTTGGACAAGAACAAGCATCCATCTAGCCCAGCAGATGGTCCTTGTGGAAAATGCCTGGTCTATGTCCTGTTATTCTAAACCCCAGTCCCAGCCAGATAGACCTCCCTGCCGCATCAAGACAATATGCTCTGCTAGGAAGGAGAGCCTAAGGGCTGGAAACAAGGACAGCAGCAAACTGAGGACTTATGTGATTCCTTTGCAGAGCTTTCCATCCAGGTGTCATGCAGAATTATGGGGATCACCCTTGTGAGCAAAAAAGCAAACCCGCAGCTGAATTTCACAGAAGCTAAGGAGGCCTGTAGGCTGCTGGGACTAACTTTGGCCAGCAAAGATCAAGTTGAAACAGCCTGGAAGGCTAGCTTTGAGACTTGCAGGTGAGAAACAGCTGGTTTCACTGTCGCTGCTGGAGTTCTTTTTTAGCTCTGTGTTCTTGTTCAGCAATAGAGATGATGCCTTCTAATCATTTTTCTGT